CATGCCTTTTTATATAAACTGGTGTGATCTAAAATTTGGGCACCCTAATTGGTTTGTAAAGCTGATAGCCAATCAGCATGTTGCATTCAGCACGTGATGGAGGCATGCCTTTTGGCCTGAGGGCATGCCCAATGACCCCCTGCCCCCAACCCTAGTAGATATGTCAGAGGCAGTGGAAGATGAAGGTGAAGAAACCTCTAATCTAACAGGGGCGGTAAGTAAGTTATCCGTAGATGGTGGTAAAGCTATCCCATGAAGTGAAACAAAATCCATGGAACCTGATAAAGTACAAGGTTTAATAAAAGAACTATCTATGCCAAATGAGCCAATTGATGATAATGATAGAGAAAATAAGAGCAAGGAATCGAAGCCAAAAACTTTACTCCAATTATACTATAATGCAAGCCGGGCAGAAAAACGTGTAACTCATGCCTACCAAGAAGAAATAAGATGCTGGTATCTCTTTGCTGAAAAATTCGAAGAAAGAGTCAAAGAAATTAAAAGTGATAATAGTAGATTCAATGATCAACAAGCTAGAGGGTTAGTATATGGTGAAATTGCAACCAATCTTCCAGGCTTTACAAGAGAAAGTTTGCGTAAAAAAACAGCAAAGACAAGAAATATCTATAAGTTGTTCGGAGAAAGTTATGACCATGATACCAAAACAATAGTTAAGGGGATAGGGATTGAAAAAATCGAGTGAATTCGAACATATAGTGCTGATTATATTTCAAAGCTTAATACTACACAAATTTATAGTATTATAAAGCATTTTAACTAGTGCAGATCGCGTCCCCGAAGTTGACGCCAACGTGATATTAATATTTTTTATTAAATCATATAAGTATAATTACAGTATATAATTTAATTCATAATAAAGTTTATACATACCAATACTGCAATATTGTTAAATATAGCGATAGGCATTCAATCAACATGTACGGATCTTGACCTAAGGTTTATGCATGTAAGGCGGGGCAGGTTTGTATAATAAAAAAATTTTAGCCACGTTATATTTTTTCTGTCAATATATAACAATGAAAGGTCAGAATAGCATACTCATACGTAAAGATAAACAAAATTGCTTCGAAAAGTGGCATATCTTTAGAGGATGGAAGCACAGGTGTAAGGTTTGTGACGAATGCAATCATCATTCACACCTATATTGCAAAACGTGTAAAAAAGTAGCGGATGGAATATATAAGCGATGTGAATATGATAATTCTCTAATAATAAATCAGGGTTAACGAATTGATATAATAAAAATTTTATTTATCTTCAGAAAAGATTCATAATGTTATCGCTCCCAAAAATATACACAATGCTATGCAAATTTTAGTATCGCATAGTATCATATACATGTATCTAAAATTTGGAAATTCATACGTGCTACGTAGAATAAATTCCACATATGAATTTATCTGTACAAGGCTTATCGTTTCTGAAATTAGTTTTCATAAAATCTACAAATTAACTTTATTAGTCTCTAAAGTATTTAATCTATAAAAATAAACAAAGTATATGATTAATCGTAATACTTATCTGTCTATAATTCTTAATACCATATACCAACTCTTTTAATCATAAAAAATTTTACCTTTGAATATGGCTACTAACCCAACGCCTTAAAACATTTTATATCTCAAAAACCTTGTTTTAAATATCCTTAAGAATGACTCCCCGAAGGTTATTGCAGAAGATGTTGAAGTTCTAGAATTAGATCTGTGCTCAAAGTGTAAAGAAAAGCTTTTTTTGTACGAACTTAAAAAACCATTTACTATACTCATCTGTGAACATATATACCACCATAGTTGTCTTGAGGATTATGTAAAAAATCTTCCACAATGCCCTAAATGTGCAATGAAAATTGAATCTATTGATTATACGTGTTATTCTAGTACTTCTGAACCTAGTTCACAGGATCAGATACAGAATACCTCAGACCCAATGCAAATTTCGCCACAAATGGCATCTGATCAAAGCCAGATTACAGTAACCTCAGATACAACTCATAGTCTTAACCCCACCTTATCGCATTTCCTATCATATCCAAATTATACAAAGCAGATCCAAAGTGTTAGACCAAAATCTAAAAAAAGATTACATGAAGAAGGTATAAAAAAAGAACCCCAAATCTAAAGAAATTAATTGATGAATTGACTACTGAAAATTTGGATTCCGCGGAAAATAATATTATCACACAGTCAAGTTCAGTACCTACCAGTGAAAATGACCCTGAGTCAGTTGATTTTCTTAACTTATATCGTCAAGTTGTAAAAGCTGATGATAATAAAAAAACTATTCAAGATCTTAAAAAACGTCTTAAGTATCATAAAAAAGATCACAAAAAACAAGTTGCTCAAATCCTAGTAAATGATGAGGTTAGAAACCAACTCCCAAAAGAGATAAGTGATAGTGCATTACGCAAAAAACCAGAGCGAGCTCGGAAAATATATTATTTTTTTGACGCTATTGGTGAAAATAAAAATAGAATTAGATCTTTTTAATGCTTCATCTATTTTTAAATTAAGGAAGGAAAATATCGATTATGTAATACTTAACATTATCAAAAAAATCGAAATGACACATTACTGCGCCTGATGTAACCATGACACACTTTCTTAATAATTAAAAAATGACCCTATGCACTATTTGTTTGTAGGATAGAGAACAAGTGTCACAAATTACAGGTTTGTGTAATTGTAATTCAAGTGGCTTGGAAGTTGTGTTACTGTTATTCGTGTTAAAATCAGTCGATTACGCGTTACCACAGCACTAATGACTTTTAATATAGATTTTCCGGAATACATTTATATAATTTCTTTCTTCTTAGTTGAAAAATGAAAACAGCCTTTTTTTCAGAATCTTAGAATTGGTCGCTTTTTAACTTCCTCAACTTTCGAAAGAATGAAGATAATTGGACAGGTAATAAACAAAAAGAACATAATACATATTTGAGAACTCTAGGTGTAATAGTAGCAACCGGCTCGAATGAAGAACGATCAGTTGGAACTTCTTCCCTGAATAACTTTACAGTTAAGTGATCAGCTTAGAATAAAGTAGGTTTGACATGTCAACAACAACTTAACAATCTGAACAGTTCGTTATAATTGATCCATTTGTGTTTGATGCGAACCATTCTAAGCTAAGTTGTTGATGATCCATTCGCGTTCTGACGTGTCCACCTGCTGGTATTCGTTAGTACATCACGGTGCCTTAACAATCTGAACAGTTTGTTTTGATCCATTTGTGTTTGATGCGTACTGTTCTAGGCTAAGTCGTTGATGATCCATTCGTGTTCGATGTGCTTACGAATACCAGCTGACAATCATATCAGTTATTATAGATGATGCTAAACGATTTCTCATAAACAAAAAGAAAGAAGCAAATAGTGATGAGGTAAATGTCTTCTGGAAAGACGTTGAACATGATAGAAATGCCAAGGAATTTGAAGCTATTCTTGAAAATTTAGATGTAAGTACTTTCTTTGCTTTTGTTTCAAAATAAGTAATAACTTATATTTCTTAGATGACATTCACTGTTGAGCGTACATTGGAGCATAACGACTATATAAATGAAGTGGGGCAATGGCGCAGACAGGTCATTAAACGCACTTCCGAAAATTACCAAGAGGAAAAATCTATTGATTCAAGTAAAAACGATTATTCTTTAAGAAAAAAACAACGTCAAAATTATAATGAGGAAGAAATGATTAAGAGGCAATATCAATACAGAGAAACTTCACCATCACCACGCCAACAACCTGCAGGCAACCTCTTATTCGATAATAGCCGTGAATCGGATACCGGAATTGAACCTAACTGCCCAGCAATAATCAATGATGTTTTTGGATTGCAATTGGGACCTTTACCTCGAAAAGAATCTAGATGGCTCGTAAATGATATTGATGTCTCTAAAAAGTGGCATCTTTTTAAGGAGAAATCATTGGAATTGGCAAATAAAGAAGGCCTTTTTGTGGAAAGCCATACACAGCAGATATTGTATGCTTTCAATTTTTTCATTTACCAGATTACTGCGAAAGCCAATTACAATTATCTTGTATTGTATAGATCCTTATCACACATTTTTTTACTGAAGCCCAAACAACATTGCCCGTTAATGACGGAGGTTTTTGGTGATGAATTATTAGAAATGATGCATAAGGATATAATACAGAGACTTACCAAGCAAGAGACAGAGTTCGATGATGAAATATTGATAAAGCTTGTCCGCATTGTCAAGGTATACTTCTCCTTTTACACATTTGATGTGAAAAAAAAAATTTAATATGCTTATTCTTGTTATAGCGCTTGCAACGAGGGGAGATCACAAGAGACAACGCAGTTTCAGAACTGCAGATTCTTGCAGTTGGTCGCGCTTATGGCGAGTGCGCAATTTTGAAGAGCATAAGAAATATGTGAGATTATAATGAATTCTGGAACAAGGGGATCTTTCACGTATCCAATGCTAACATGCCTTTATTTCTAATCATTAATCATTAGTATCGAAAGAGTACCAAGAGCCACATTAAAAAGCCCCATTGGAGAGTTAGAGCTGTGCACCACTTACATTGATCCAATTCTTAGCCAACTTTTTATGGATCCTGATCGCGATGTATTCCTGCGATGGTAAGATCTTTAACTTGATAATATCTTTATCTATGTATTTTCTAATCGATGGGAATATTGCAGGTCAAATAAAGAGGCAATGGAGTCCAAGGTTAGAAAGCCAATAGGCAGGGCTAAACAACCTGATGCCATCATAAACGAAATCAATCAACTGTCTTGGGGCTTGAGCAAAGGACATGGTGAAGCGAAAGTTCAAGAAGAGATGAATAACCTTTACCTCCTTTGCACCGATCTCATCCGGATAGCTATATTTAACAAAGATGCGATCGACTTTTATAACATGAATTGTATGCTCGGATTTCAAGTTGTCGGTGAGTTTCCAACAGTATCTTTTTTTTCAGATCACACATCATTGAACAATTATTCTGTACTCCAGGGCATCATATCACATTCTATCTCACCACTCTTTTGTGTGATGCCTTATATGTTATGGTGGAAGTTGGTCACGTTGATGTGCCTATGTCACTTGAACAAGTTCCTGCTTTTCTCACCAGCCTTGATACGCTTCTCATTATTTTAAATGCATATTGGTCCAATTGTATTATGTCTACCGAAAACAAGGAACCAAGCAGGCGTAGTACTCTTGCAACACCAAGTTTTAAAGAAATGGTTTCAAAGAGTCGGGATCGGCATCGACCTTGTCAATTACGGTTTTAATTTTTTAGTTTCTAATTATGATTCAAAATTAACTCACAATGTTAAGGGTTCTCATTTATGTAATATGTACCTATTTAACATGTGTAATGAATGCATCAGAAAATAAAAAAAATGTGTACATATTAGAATGTAAATAAAATGTGAGTGCTCGTGAGTTGACTTTTTAAAAATGATCGGTGTTCTGCATATGAATTTTTTATGATGCTTTTAAACATAGATATTGTCCGGGGATTTGATCTTACAGTATGTGTCACTAGAAAATAAAATGTCATTCGAATATAGATATTTTTTTGGCAAGGTAACAGATCAAAATAGTGTTGACCTGAGGCGCATTCCTTGGTTTCAGTTAAGGACAGGGAAGCTTTTGAGAAGGATGAGGCTAGGATAGAGAAGGAAAGGCAGAATGAAATGGCATCAAATGTAGTAACTCTAGCTAAGGCAGATAACTACGATGATGTGTATTTTGATGAAGAGGGTTTAAAGGAGAATCTAACGAAGTTAAGTCAGACGATGGCAACGATTCTAGTGATTCTGAAGAAGAGATACCAGATGAATCAGACTCGTATAATGACGATGAAGAGGATATGGACGATGCTAAGATATCACAAATAAAATAATTACTGGTGATTTCACTTGTTCTGATGATGATGAACCAGGCTATTACTATGATTTAAGTAGTGGGAAAAAAACCTATAAAAATTCAGATCATTTAATTAGCGCATATTAACACGCGATGCTGGAATCCCAATAGTAACCGTAAAAGCATAGAATAATAATGTTAACTCAATAGTCTCCACTAATCGCAAATTACATTGTAAAAATTCATGTAAAAAAAAAGCATGTAAAATAAAAGATTAAGAGCCAGCGGGGCCCCTTCTTTATTTAATATTTTTTTGCCGAACTGGCAATATACAAATAAAAAAAATATATTATTTTTTGCTTCGCGCTTCGCTCATATCACTATAACCTCCATCATCACCTTGGTCATCACCTTTACCTAGCTTCATATGGCCAGGTCTGCCTAGGCATTAAGCCCGTTACTGGGTTTCTATCCACTCCAAACCAATGCTGTATTAAATCAGGCAAGGGCTCTACCTTGCTCCCCAATCTTTGTTTTTTTGTGCCAGTCGGCGGTTTCTCTTTCTGATCCTTTGGTACTTATACTTCTTACACAAGAAGGTCCAATAATCGATCTTCCACTGGCGGTGTCATTAGTCTTGGTGGTAGTGGTGTCATTGGTCTTGGCGGTGGTGGTGTCGTTACTGCTCATTTTTCGTTCCTAAATACAAAGAAAATATAGTAAATAAAAATTTGTTTTCATAGCCTCCGTTTAGATGAAATAACACATTAATTTAAAAATAATTATGGACAGATAAAAAAATTATACACGAGCAAAAAAAAAATATTATTGATACCCGCTTTACAAGACAAAACAAATCGCTTTATTTTTATACCTTTCATTATCTAGATCTGAGAACCGGTCAGAAGAAGAGCTACTCGATTAGTAATTACGTTACCCAAATTCAACGCCAGTTTTTTCTCCATAAAGCAACTCCACTCGGTCATAACTTCCAAACACTGAATCTATTTTGTTATTTTTCTGGTGAAATTAACCCCCTTAGATTCGACGATCGCTTAAGGTAGGTTTAGATCTGACGATCTCGGAGATGGCGGAGATTCCGAGTTCATACAACATTTGAATTTTAGTAAAACTACTGATAAAGAACGTTATACTATTTCCTCTTATAGCCCTTTTAAGTCCCATTCGTGTCTTTTCTTATCGCGGGATCGCGTATAATAATAAAGGATTTTATATATTTGTAATACTGTAATATTGCTCGACTGTTGATAAAAAATTGACCGTGAGAAATGATTCTGCAGGGGGAGTGTCACAAAACCTTATATCTAATTTTGTGCGACTTGTTACTGATATAAATTAAGATCCGTTATGCTAAATATACTGACAATGTTTATTGAATTTCGAATATCCAGTCTAAAAAAATCGTGGTCGAATTTTTGTGAACTTGTGTCATACGTGTACGTGTTGTGTTAAAATAAAGCATATATACTTGCAGATATCAGTGTATTGGGAAAAGTTATATAGTATTGCTTATCGTTATTCATTCTAACGCAAATTAATTTGTACAACTGATACCAGATTATATCATGCATAGTGAATTATTTAACTTATATACTGTATGTGAATCAGATTAAAATTTTCTTCAGAACAAAGTTTAAATATGATATTTCATTTTTGCATCGATCGAAATTTAAATGCGGTGTTTCA